CACGGTCCCGGCTGGCCCCTCGTTCCCTGCCCTAGGGCAGACCACGGGCCCAGCTCTGGCAAGCAGCCAGCCTGGTTTAGTTCCCTAATGCCAGGCTTTTCAGCCGGTGCATGTGGCTGTTCCGCTTGCTACCTGTAGGTGGCAGCCGCAGCCAGGTATGGGGGCTGGGGGAGGTGTTGTGGGGCAGGGATCAGATATAGGGGGGAAGGTTTGGGGGTGGGGCGGCCGGCGCTCACCACGCAGAACGATCCCGGCCACATCTGGACAAACTTCATGCACTTCCAGCTGCAAAACCTAGAGAGGCAAAGCAGAGCTTTGCAGAGACCACGCAGGGGTAGGGGTAGGGGTAGGGGTAGGGGCAGGGGCAGGGGGGAAGGAGATGGGGAAGTGGAAAGGAAGGGTGGCCTAGAGGTATGGCTTGGGGACTCTGAGTTCAAAACCCATCTCCCTACAGATTCCTTGGCCGAGTCACTTAGTCTGTGCCTCAGTTTCCCCATCTGTACAATGGGGATGATAGCCCAGCCCAGCCCATCCCTGCCAAGCCTCACGGGCGGGGGGCGGGGGGAAGGATAAAAGTGCCAAAGACTGTCAGGCGCGGAGACGCTGCGGCGCTGGGGGGCTGAGCAAGTAGCTCAGACAGACAGGAAGTGGAAAATCTGGAGCCTGATTCGGAGTCACCCCCTTTCTGCACCCGGGGCAGGGACAGGATGGGAGGCGGCTTTAAGCCCCCTTTGTCCTCCCCGACCACTCAATTCTTGGCCCTGCCAGGGCTGCCCTAACTCACACGCTGTCCCCTTCTCTGCCCCCCCTCTGGCCACGCCCCCACCTGTCCTTGGGGGGGCAGAGAAGAACCACAGCAGAGGGCCCTCTGGCCATGCCCCACCTGTCCTTGGGGGGGCAGAGAAGAACCACAGCACAGGGCCCTCCGGCCACGCCCCCGATCTGCCCCCTGGGGGGCGGAGAAGAACCACAGCACAGGGCGCTTCGGCCATGTCCCCAGCCCACCTCCTACGCTGGTGGGGAGAGAGGTTTCCAAGGGGCTTTCCCCAGCTCCTACCTCTGTGTTTCTTGCACTCCACATGGTCACCAGTGCAAATCCTTCTCCCTGCCCCCCGGATCAGTGAGGGTTGTTCCTCGCTAGGGGACGCTCTGCAACTTGCTTGCAGGGCAGACGGGGCCTCGGGGCTGTAATCTAGGGGTCAGTCCCCCCAGAATCCCCGTATGAAGCCCGCTGGGGATGGGGATCAGTGCGCCTATAGGTCCAGTGAGATCTCAGCTGGTCCCTAAGAATAGGAACTGGAGCCCTGGACCCCGCTCTGCCCCCCACCAGTGCTGGAGCCAGCGGGCACCACTGCAAAGGGGCACTCACTGCCGGCGGCACCTACCCGCTTCGCTCCACCTGCTCCTCCCGGAGCATCTCCACTCCGGCCAGCCACAGGAACGCCAGCACGGCCCCACGCACCATCGTCCCTGCAAGGCAAGCGCCAAACCGCTGACACGGGGGAGCAACGGCGGCCACGGTTGTCCCCGGGCGGCACAGGCCACGTCCTGCCAACCCCCCCGGGGCAGCCCCCGTCCTTGGTGGAAGTCACTGTCCAGGGGTGGATTCGGCCAAACATCTCTGGGTCTGTGTGCTGGGCAATTGCCACGCACAGCCAGCACCCCAGGGTGGGAGCCCCGGGTTGGATCCGGCACCTCTCGGTTACCTCCCCGGGGGAGTTAATGGGGAGCACTAGGAGGAGGAGGCTGGGAGTCGGGAATCTGGAGGGATCTGGGCTTGGAAAGCCCGGTTCACGAACGCCCAGCTTACCCTGCTCAGTCCAATCTGGCCGGCGCCGGAGAGAGACGCTGCCTGGCCGAAGGGTGGAGCCGGCCGGGGAGCCGAAAATGGAAAGCCCTCGAGGTGGTTTCACTTCTTCATGCAGCAAAACACGCCCCTCGAGCACAGCTGTGCGGGGACCCTGGGGGCCCTCAGCCACCACCATCAGGAAGTTCGGTGGGTGGGTGGGTGCTGGGGGTGAGGGGTCTGGGGAGATGCCCAAAGTGGATCCAGGATAGATATTCCTCACTCAGTAAAGGGAGAGGATGGGGGGAGATCATCTCAGGTGAGGAGGTGCCTTCCAGGGCTACGGAGGAGCAGCCCCGGGGAACAGAGAATAGCCACAGCGCAGGGTGCTCTGACCACGCCCCCGATCCGCCCCCTATGGGCCCTGGGGG